CTGAAAATCTGACAGAATGCTTCTCCTTTTTGGTTGCTTCTGGCATGGCCTTTTTTCCTTTAGAGGGCGTCAAGAAGGAAACTTTCGTAGCCTCCATTTTCGCTTTCTTCGTGGCCTTCATTTTCGCCTTAAGGGTTTGAACCACCGCAGCTAGAGGAACTTCAAACGAGAGTCCACAGTCGTCAATCATCGATGCCAAATAATAATCCTCAGTAATATCCTCTCGCTCTCCACCATAACTATTTGCGTCTGGAAATTCCGGGGAGTTCAACATCCTGACAGAGGCAAGAGCATTAGAGCTAGTCATCACGTTTGACGCCTTCGTCTCCTCAGTCATCAACTCCAAAGGTCCCAGGCTCATGGCTTCCCGGACATTCCTAGCAAAGCTAGAAGTAACAGAGCCAACAAACTCACCGGAAACCTTCCCCTCAACCATCAACTCCAATGTTTCCAAACTCGCAGCATCCCCATCCTGGACGAAGTGAAGGAGCATAGGCTCGGGTTGTGGAACCACTTCAATCGGTTGTTCCCAACCTACTTCCATCAACTCCAAGCCCTCCCCTTCTAACATAGAACCATTAACAGCTTTCATAGAGGTTTCACCATCCGCCATCTCCAGGTTATCCTTGTCGTCTACTTCATCAATCATAATCAGAGCCAAAGGATTGACAGGCTCTGCCGGCCCACACTGCAGCATCCTTTTCTTCATAGCGGCTCAACAAAAGGGGAGTATCCTCATATTCAGAAGCAAGCTCCACCAGAGAAGCGCTATGATTGCACAATGGGAACCTTGAGTTTTTCACTACTTGCGCAGAGCAGCAATAGGGCTTTCATAGGACCTACCCATCGGCACATACTTCGACCAAAAAGAACTTCCCACCGGCACAGGGAGTTGTAACCCCTACTCAAACACCACCGAAGGGAAGCGTGAGGACTGGGGAACGTCCAATCCATCATGGGAGTAGTATGCCGCCATAAATTTTGGGATCTCCTCTGCACACCCTGGCGTCTTATCCCCTTTATCAAACCACGCCTTTTTTGGTGGACCCTCAGGATCATCATCGAAATCTACATCTATCGAATTGAACACAACGTTGGGTGCGGATGAAAGGTAATCACAGGAATTGCTAGGAAAGGGGCCCACCATTATCCACCTTTTTTTTAATTTCAAATTCTCAGATCCCGACGGAAGTCCACGTATCTTCTTCAAACGCCTAAACTGGTGCTGACTGTGAACGTGCAAAGGCACACTATCGCCATTGTAGTTCTTCTTATGCTTTTCTATTGCCAACAACGGTCCAGCCCTCATCACTAGTAGAGTTGACTACTTTAGGAGGGGGAGCTTGCTTATCAGGGGAGTGACCATTATCTTCTAACATAGATTCAATGAGAAAGCTATCAGAACGAATCACCAGGTGAATCTTAGAAGGAAAGGGGTGTTTCACCATATGCCAAAGTTTAATATGAACATAGTCTAGTGCACCCATTTTCAGCAAGTTCCAATCGACATCACAATCAAACCCACACATTTGCCAATTTTTGGAAAATGGTCAGTTTCCAAGCATGTCAAGGGATACCCCAGAAACGAACCCACACACATTCCTTTTCCACGAAGAAGCCATGAATAGAAGGACACCAAGAGTTCAACGACAGAAGCTTTCCATGAATCCTGACGAATATAGAGAGAGAAAGCACAGAACCTCATATGTAGATCTGAGAAAAAACATAACTTTATTAACTCCCGGTGAATGAACTTCCAGCTGATAAGAGAGGCCACATCCCCTCTTCGCTCAGTCTCCCAAGCCGAAAACATCATTTGATGGTGGAGAAAAGACCCCACCACTACAGAGCTAGTTCGAGACCTAGTGTCATCAACAAAATTACTCTCCACAAGCACTTTAGGCGGCTACTTCATTAGAGCAAACTCGTCATCTTCGCAGTGCCAATAGCATCATAGCCACCATCTTCCCAAAACCTCTATTCAGCAACTCCACGGCCTGTCCCTCCCAGTCTTTCATACAAAAACTCCTCCCATTCAAAGCTCTACAAATATTCCAAACCCAAGGCTAACTTCCAACCAACAAAAACCCATTAAAACCCCCCAAACCGGTTTCTCCCCAACCTACTGCAAGCAAAAATCCATTAAAACCCCTAAAAGGGTACTACTCTTCTATCGCTTTAACCTCGCTGCTGCTCATGTGTGTGGGTCTCAAAGGACACCTTTTCGAGGCTGTATGCTTTGGAAGTTAACAAGAAGATCACTGTGATTGAAGCCTATGAAAGTTTTTATTTTTTTATTTTTTTTTTTTGGGTCTTGAGGGTCAGAGAACTGGAGATCAAATGTTTACAGTAAATCATGCCCTTGCTTCATGATATCCACCTAACAATAAGAAGGGGATGCTGCTATCAAGATCCCCGACTGATCTGCCCACTTCTCTGTCAAATCCTTTTATAACATACTTGCAAGTCAAGGTATAGCAAGACAGGTACCAGCAAGGTCAGCTCCATACCAGCACCATATAAAACCAGAGCTTTTGGTTGGTTAGTCATCAATGACATGTTGCCCACAATAGACCATCCTCAAAAACTGCCATTACTTCAACAAAGCAAATGCAGAATCAATACCCAATCTCCTCTTGCTTTCCCAGTTCATGTAGAAAAAATGTACCTACTTTCTTGTGTCTTTTCAACGTTCCTTGGAATCTTCTTGGTCAGTGGAACAACTATTTACCAGCGGGTATTCTGTCCGAATCCCATGACAAGGGAGCCTACTATGGTGCAATTCGATCAGAATACTATGAGGAGTCAAGGAACCTTCTTGGTCAGTGGAACAACTGTTTACCAGCTGGTATTCCGTTCGAATCCCATGACAAGGGAGCCTACTATGGTGCAATTCGATCATGGGAATATTATGAGGAGTCTGGCTCGAACAAAATTGGAGTATTTGCAGGAGACATCAAGAATCATATAGCTTCATTGATAACATGAAAAATACCATCATAAATTGGGCCACTGCAAGAATTAAATTTAGAGCTATTTGGCTGTACATCTCCACTCTTCAGTGAAAAAATATTTCAAAAAACAAAAACTTGAGGGTCTCATGAATATGCATAAAATTGGGTCCCTCCTCCCATGGGCTCCGTCGAATTAACTTTGATGGATGTTCATTAGGCAATCACAGTCGAGCTGGTTGTGGTGGCATATTCAGGGGCCAATTGGGATGATAATTTTCCTATATTTAGGTAATGTAGGGGTGAATGATACTACACAAGCCAAAGCCCTTGCCCTAATCCATGGTATCAAACAATACAATAAGGATTGTGGGCATGAGGGTGGTTCTATCAATGCAATCCAAGGGGCATCCAGGAAGGCAAGATTTCTATAGCGTCTATGTCACGCATTTTGGGAAGAATTAGAAAGGCGGAATGGTTTCATGTCAACAAACGTGGCTGGAATCAAATCAAGCGGCAAAACAGCATGAGAACGAACCTCCAGGCACTTTTTCCTTCTTTTTTTTTTAATTCTTGAAAGCACTTAGTTTGAAAAGCCTCTGCGGCCCAGTCTGTCCAATTTTGTACTTTTTGACACACATTTAGAAAAAATTGTTGTAAAGTTCATACTTCATAGTGTCATTGGTATACAGATTTTGTGTCCTGTATACCAATATTTTAAATTATTACTTATGAATATATTAGTTAACCTTCAAAAAAACAGCTAAAAATAGAGAGTTTGCACTATCTCTTACCAGTGGATTTATGTACTCAAAAAGTATCGTCAACTTGCCAACACTTCTCTATTGTTGAATGGCAGCATTTGGAGAGAAGCTGCTCCATCACATGGGTTGCTTTTTATGATAATTTGCTTTGATAGTACTAGCATCCAGGGGAATAAGACATGTGAGAACTCATCCTTCTTCCGGTAATGTTTTGGTTGACAAGCCAACTTATGTTGCTCCACCTTCAACAGACAAGGGACCTAGACGAATTCTCAATCTTTTGAATCTTAAACTCCCTTCCTCAAGAAGGTCCTCAGTCTCTCCACTAGAAATTTCGTTCTACAACGGATGGTCCGACATAAACCAAAGTGTCGTCCATGGCTCCTCGCTTATGAGGTGAGCTTATTGCATGCATCTATTTCTGTAAACAAAAAACCGCTCACTAATTGCACCGTAATAGATGGTTCAAAGATTGCCATGCCTTCCCTCCAAAGCATATCTTGGTTTCATTTCTCTTCATGGTTACCTAGTTTTGCAATCTAACATTTCCTCCATAATTCAAGAAAAAAATGTTTATATACAACTCACATAAAGGGGCAACAATAGATAGACTTACAATTATCAAATGAACAATATGCATTTATTGATGTAAATGTTGCTAAACTATCACACTCAATTTGCGCTGTTCATAATTGAATTAATTCAAGACACATGCACAGATAGAGAATGAGTAATTGACAAATACACTTGAATAAAAATTTGATCATGTGCCATTCTGGGCATGGAGTGCAGTAGGTTGTCATAAAAGAAGGCCACGAAAGATCGTAAGTCATCAGAATTTCACCTGAAATCCATTTCTTCCTTTTCTTTACTTTTTTGGTTTTTTGAGTTTCTCATCAATTTCTTGGTCATCTTACCTCATGCAAATAAAGAAGTAAAAAAGAAAAGGAACCAAAGGCAATAACAAAATACCAACTCGCATCCTACAACACAAGCACAAAAGTCGTCAACTGTTTCTGTATATAGAAAAACCGTGATGTATAAACAGGAAAGTATCTATGCCAATAGTATGCAATAACCAGCAAGTTGTACAAGCACATACAAACACATATAATAGGTGACAAGCACACAAATAATAGTACGGGGTACCTGTAGGTCTCAGAACTGCACGCTAGAGAGAGAGAGAGAGAGAGAGAGAGTCATTCAATCATAAAGTAACCCTTCAATTTCTATAAACATCAGGTGTGCTGGTAGAATTCCAATGTTTTAGGTGATGGGTATGTTGAAACTCAGTTTAAAAAAGGAGGCATTGAGAAATAAAGGAGACGTGAACAAAATACATGCATCTTCATTTGAGCTTTTTGTTCGCATGGACTAATGACATTGAAACAAAAATATACATATATCTCTTATAAGCAGCTCCATAAAATTTTATCAGCACCTTCTGAAATTGTGGGACTATGAGCTGTCATGACAATTCAATGAATTGAAGAAATCTGCCAACTTTTCTTGAATGGATTCGTGGGTATCTTCTGGTTTGTAAACCAGATGGATCCCTCCCTTCTTCATTTGAACGCAAGGGAATTCTGGAGGAGACCTGTTTAACACTTCTATTTGATCCCCATCTCCTAACATAAGCAGAACATCATCACCCTCTTGAAAGTGGAATAAATAAACTTGGTCTTGGCGAGCCTTTGGAAGCATTTCTAATCTTAGTGTAGAACTAAATCTTTCAATACCATCCCTTGTGATCGTAAGTTCAACATCAGGAATGCCCCAATCATCAATTTCAGTTGGAATCTCATTGTCTAGAGAAATAACAAGACACAATATCACTCCTCGGATTTCAACACCATGATCTGACATCCCAGATATCATGTATGATAGTGACTGACACATGAACCAGTCTGGAACATTGCTTCCAGAAACACCAAAGCAACGTAAATGTTCAAATGTTTCCTGTATATCATATTACACAAACTAAGATCAACTGTTAAAGAAAAACACAAAGAACAAAGAAAAAGGAAAACAAATCTAATTAATAAAGTGAACTAAATGAGTATTCTTATCAAGTAAGTAAGATACCTTTGCTATACTCCTTGATGGATGAGTGCACCCGTTCAAGTACAAGTATGTCAAGGACTTCAATTTATCAAGACCTTGTATCTCAGTCAACCTCTCACAGTTTGTGAGACCCAATTCTTTTAGCTTCGAAAGGTTAGAGAGGTCTGATATAGTTCGCATTTTTGTGCAGTTGCTAGCATCCAGATAAGCCAAACTGGTGGGAAGCTTAGGGATGGAAAGCAGCTCCACACAATGAGAGACACACAGTGTTGTAAGCCGAGAAAAGCCACTCATGCTACTGGGCAGCTTATGGATTTTGTTATAGCTAAGATTTAAGGTTGTCAATGAGGATAACTTTTCAAACTCATCCTGAATCGTCCCTTGGAGGTTACAATGATCTGCATTCAATACACGCAAGGAGCAAAGACCAGGGAAAGTAGATGGAAACCTTTTCAATTCACCATTGTATTGTATGTCGAGAAACTTCAACATTGCAAGACTTCCAAAACCTTCGGGGAGCTCTTTGAAGTGAGGACAATGTGCCATTTTCAACACAACCAAGTTCGAAAGCAGTCCGAAGTCGTCTGGTAATTCAGCTACAGCAGTTTCCTCAATGTTTAGATGATGAAGAGACTTCATCTTTCCCATTGAAGCTGGTAATCTGCTGAGTACCTTGCAGTTACTCAGAGACAACTTCTCAAGGTTGACCAATGAACCTATCGACTCTGGAAGTTCTTTTATGATTGTTCTATCAAGGATAAGAGTTCTAAGATTACCCAAATTTTTTACTGAATCAGGTAATTTGCCAAATAATATGCTTCCCTTCAGATTTAGCTCCTCAAGCTGACTTAAGGCTGTGACAGAAACAGGCACTTCTACCATTTCTGTGCTATTGAAATGATGCTCGACCAAAATCTTTAATCCCATCATCTCTGTCCTATCCAAACAACGCCTAACCAACATCTTGGGCATGTCAACAGAATCAGGTATTCCACTAAGAGATTTACAACCTCTAACCCATAACCTTTTCAAATTTGACAGTTTCCAGAATGAACTTGGCAGTTCAGAAATGGGTGTATAATCCAAGAAAAGATCTCCTAGAGATGCCAGATCACCAATTGTTTTAGGCAATGCAGTAAGTGATCTGCATGATTTTGCACTTAAAATTTGAAGCCTTTTTAGCGATCCTATGGAGTTTGGCAGTTCTCTCACTGAACTCCAGTCAACCAAAAGCTCTTGTAAAGATTGCAAAGCACCTATTGAAATGGGTAATTCATCCAGATCTCGACATGCAATTAGGCATAGCCTTCTGAGTTTCTTCAATCTTCCAATAGATTCAGGAAGTTGTTTTATGGCAGTCCTATCAAGGAGAAGCTCTGTTAAAGACTCCAAGGAGCCCAACTGTTCTGGTAGCTCACCAAGCTGAATACAACAAGATAGATTAAGCTTTTGAAGAGAATGCAACCCGGAAACACTGTCAGGCAATTTCTTCAGGTTCTTGCAGTTCTTCAAATTCAGATAAACTAATTTTCCAAGAAGGCTGATGGAATCATGAACCTCAACAAGCTCCATGCATGTTTTAAGGTTCAACTTCTCTAAGTTTGGGCATGTAGAAAAGTTGGGAGTTCTCAATAAGTCGCAATATGCAAGATCAAGAACCTTCAACTTTTGAATCAACTGTCCAGAAGAGACCAGTCAAGGGAAAAAAATGGGAATATCAAAGATGGTAAAGGAAAAGATGCATGGTTAAATCTATGTAACTGACCTGATCTTGAGATTCCTTCCTCCATAGATGCCTGATGCTGCTATATGACAAATCAAGAACGGCAAGATTTTTATAGCATAAATAATTTGGGAGGGACCGAAGTGGGCATCCTTCCCATTGTAGCCATATTAGTTCTTTTGGAAAAACTTTGAAAAGTCCATCAAGAAATGTGCCATTGATGCTTAGTAGTTTCAGATTGGTCATAAGTTGAAATGCTTCAGTTTCCCATGAAGTTTCATCATTTTCCTGTAGGTTAAGGATTAGGCCTCGAACCTTTTTGGTTCCCTGAGAAACAGTGGACATGCATGTCAGTAAAGCAGTGAGATAATAGAAAATGGACAATATCTAACTATATGATCTTCAATGAAACAAAATATAACTTCAGCCAACTGTATCATTCATTACAAGGTTTCTCCAGCATAAGAAAAATAAGTGAACTGTGAGATAGAAAGACCTGACCTTGTGATTCTTCAACACATCAAAGACATCATCTCTAAACCACAACCTACTACGCCTACCAGGTTCTTCCAACTTTTCTATTTCAACAATTCGTCTCCCCATGTCACGAAGTTGGTCATGCATCCGCAACTTATTCTTCTCATCGACCTTTATGAGCGACTTTTGCAAGAGATTTTCAATCAAGTTAGGAAAGCCGCAACCTTTCCAAAAGTGAATTGCATAATCCTTGTCCTTTCCTATGAGAAAACATGCAATATCAAGAAACATGTGCCGCTCCTCTTCAATCAGGCCATCATAGCTTATCTTCAGCTTCTGTAAAACATCATCTTCAGGAATTTTTCTTAACTTACTCACTGCATCCTCCCACTCCTCTATGGTTGTCTTATCAGATAAATATGATCCCATAACTTCAAGAGCTAGGGGCAACCCACCAGCAATGGATACCACATCCTCTGATAGCTCCATGTAATCCCTTACTGGTTCATCCATCCCAAACGCATACCTACTGAAAAGTTTACGGGATTGAGTGTGATCCAATACTTTAAGCTCGTAGATATGATGCTTGTCTATCTTATATACATTCAATACATGCTCATATCTGGTGGTGACGACAATCCTACTTCCAGGACAGTACCATTCCCTTTTACCAACCAATTTCTCGAGTTGTTTCTCATGATCAACATCATCCAATATCATAAGAACTCTCTTGGACCCAATCCTATTCCGGATAACATTAATACCTCTATCAACATCATTTATGTTGGGGTTTTCTTCATTAAACATATCATGGAGAAGTAACTTTTGCAAGGAAAGAAGTCCATGAAGAGATTGAGAGCCTTCACGGGTATATGGTTGTGAAGCTTCTCTAATGTCCGGAAGGAAGCAACTACCTTTGAAGCTTGAATATAATTTGTTGTAGACTGCCTTGGCAAGAGTCGTCTTACCAATCCCACCCATTCCATAGATCCCAATCAATCGGACGTCATCTGCATTGATATCTAAGAGTCTCATAACATCGTCAACCCGAGAATCTAGTCCAATGATGTGATCGGTAATATTGAGTGGTGTGTAATTCAACTCAGCTAACACACTCTCAACAACTTTAGAGATAAAGTTTGCTTCATTCCTGCAGGCATTCCTCCTTCAGAAAGAGAGAACTAAAGTAGCTTGTCTAGTGAGAAATAAATAAACAAAACATGAATGATATAGAAGACAACCTGACTATACATCAAATTTAATGGTTATGCGATGGCAATGGTTTTATGTCAAGCACACAAGGATTATATCATGGTGACCCTTTTAAGCATCATTTAAGCACAATTCATATAATCTGTTCAAATAGTTGAGACAAAATTTTCGGCTGGCTCAGGGGTTGCCTAATTTAGTCACTGGTAAAAAGCAAATAAATGAATACTATCATTACAGGATCTATGGTACATCAGAGGATAAAACTATTCAAAGCATAACCAACAACAACAGACTCAAAAAAGTTGCACTAGTGGCCTGGCTCATATATGATCTGAAGGCAATGAGAGTTTTTTTTTTTTTTTTCCAACAAAGTTACATAGGAAAGGAACTTGAGACGTAGCGCTATGAAAACCCAGCTACTACCGCCTTGACCCAAGCCCGATTCCTGATCCGAAGGCAATGAGAGTTGATTGGTTCAGCAAAGAAAAACTCTGTGCCGCTAGATATTCCACATCAGATCTCAGCCAAAACCAAGAAATTGTAAGAATTGGAAAACTCAAGGAGAAAAAGGTAAATTGGGGTTTCCAGGAAAAGGGTGGACGATTTTTCCGAAGTGGTTTAAATGACTCGTATATGACTATTAAGTTAAAAAATCGTTCAGGGTAAGAAGTTAAACTGCCCTCTTTTGATCATGAAACACACACAACTCAACAAATGAGATGTATGACTGTAAACAACCCAAAAGGAAAGAAGCATTCTTTTCTTCTTTTCATAAAAAACTAAGTCCAAAATAACATAACCTTCAAATTGGGACGACCAAGTCCTTTTAATGAAAGCACTCCAAAAATAATAAAATAAATAAAAATGAAAAATATATATCCCCCAACCTCAGGCACCTCCCTACTAGCTTAAATCCAAAAGATACCTCTTCGTTCTCAAAACCGCACACGTCACTCTCATTCCCCAGATCCGACGTACTCCTCTTTCCAATCTTCTTGGAGCTCTTAGTGAATCCTTGGTAATTCTTAAAAAACCAAGAAGAGATAAAATATAAAGCAGTAAAGACGAATGAGGGAGAAGAGGATCTAGAGAAGAGAGAGAGGAGAGGAAGGAAGAGAGAGAGAGAGGTTCAAAGAGAGGGAACCACATTAAGGGAAAAAGAAGAGAAGATAGGGAGTCAGGCTAGGTAGTGAATAAAGCATCCATTCCCACAGTGGTTCACTTCCACTCCCACATCCTGATCATCATCCATTATGCATTCGGGAAGTGATGTGCAAGGCTTAATCCATTATGCATTAGGGAAGTGATTTGCAAGCCTTAAAATGAAACAGTAAAAATATGAAAGGCAGACTAATTCTTCTCTCTCTCTCTC